TGGATCTTAATGGTGGTGACAACAGTTTCGGATCTGTTTCACTTTTTAGATGGTCTGGATTTGTTTCACTGGATTTGGATATCCGGATCTTTGATATGGACTGGATTTAGTTTACTGGATTTTTCTGGATATCCGGATTTTTTGACATAAACTGGATTTAGTTTGCTGGATTTTTCTTAAAGAAACGTTTGGCCGCAAAATCACTTTTCTCTCTCTCAAAGAACAGAAGCTACCGGATTTACCGGAGGTCAGAAACGGAAAACGGGAGCTGGCAACGAAACTTGTTTTGTTGCTCTCTCGGGAGGGCCGATGATGATAATTTTTTGAGGGTCTGAAACAACAAAAAAACTATTTTCTGATATTGTCTGGTTTTTGCAGGTTCGGAAACTCAGGAGTGAAGACTTGGAAGCTGAAGCTCAAATTTAGAACTCTAGGAAAAAATTTAGGATTAGGACTTTGTAATTCTGTAATCTCAAAAATGTAAATTCTTGGATAAATGTTGTAATAAAATATTGTACGGAGATTGAATAAACTCAGTCTCTAATAAAGCTTTGATTTTTTTTGACTAAATTTAATATGCACTTCTTTCCCGAATAACCTTGACACTTCGCCATCCGAATTCGAAACTTAACCGCTTGCAAATACTTGGAATTAACTGACATCCAACACAAATTCTGAATTTAACTGAACCTTTGAAAGTCAACCCGTACTCGATAACAAGAATCGGTGAATATGGCCTCGAATAAATAAATAAATCCAATTTCTTAGCAAACTGAATTTTATTCCGTGTTTAAATTCCAAGTCGTATCTCGAGTAAACCTGACCTTTATAACCTAAATTTGAACTAATCCGACAAAACTGAAACGATAGTTATTATAAACCCGACGCAGACCAAAATTCCTCTGCGCCTTTAACGTAACTCGTAACCAGTAGAGAAAGAGAAAAACATGAATGCGTGCACCCGTTTGAATAACCTCCTCGAAATAATTCTTGCACCGATTCAGTTCTAATCCGTCAGACCTTAAAATCCTCGGATTAAACAAATCAAATCAATTAACAACCCCCATTTCATATGACGGCTAGCAATCTAATTCTCAACTCTAGATGAACTGTATCGAGGAATCTGACGTCCATACTGTCATAGAAATGCACCCGTTCTCAAACCAATGTCATCTAATCGAGAGACAGGAGACCCTAGCTCTTAGGCATCCTCTGATAATGATTTGACTCTGTAATAATCAAAATAACCGTAATCTGGTGATACGTCTACCTCCACATGAATTAAAGGGCCAACAAGATTATTTTCCAATTTTTTTTTGACACGCCTGCAAAAACGAACAAAATAGGCAAACTGGTCAGCAGTTAGTAAAAATGAAATACGGACAACATGAAATGCAAAAAGATCACTGCATCTAAAGGTAAAATTTGGGATATGACAATCGGCTTTAAATACATTGAATCATATATTGAAAATAATGAAGACAATATTCTCCATGCTTAAACAACCTCAAAAACAGATTTGGCCACGAAGGCCTAATTTCCTCAAACTCAAAAAGCTCCTAAATTCTTAAATCGGCTTTAAATACATTGAATCATATATTGAAAACAATGAAGGCAATACTCCACATACCTTAATTGTTGACTCTAAGCCTTTCTCCTTGATTTTTGGAAACCTCGCGAAGCTTTGCCTCAATCCTCTTCCTCGGAGCTTTGTCCTCTATTTCTTCTCTTTTCACGGTCTAACAAGAATGAATCCTAATTCTCTCAAAATTCCTTTTTGTTAAACTTAACTTTGGACCTTAAAATGGGCTTTCCAATTTCACCCTCACTAACTCCTCCTCAAAAGTCCATTTTGCCCTCAATTCACTTATATTTATTTAAATTAATAATAATACCAATATATTCATATTATATACTATTATTTAAATAAATAACTCAAAATCCATAATTCTCAATATTCACACCAACCACTGAAAATCACCAAAAATACGAATATTTATATTTAAATAAATCAAATAAATATTCCAATAAATTTGGGGTGTTACACTGAACATGGTTTGGAAGAATCTCAAGAGCATATCTTGAACATGGTTTGGAAGAATCTCAAGAACAAATATAATATCATTCGACACCATGTCGAGGTTGAAGTGTTCGACAGACATCAAGGACTTAGAAGATTTTAGAAACCAAATACTTGAGAGATTGGTCTCAACACTAGGGTTTTTCACCAACCACCTTCAACAAGCAGACAATTATATGCTTAGAATAGTTAAGAATGTGGGATAATGGTTTTCATTGGTTTATAAGTTCTGACAATATGGAGATGTCTTAGAAGAATAAGTTACATGTTCTTGATACGTGTCAGTTTTCTAAGAATAAATTGTCTGAGACGATTATATGTAGATTAGTATAAATAGCAGGCTCATGCATTGTAATCAAAGTCGTAACTTTCATATATTTCTCTATAGAACTGGAGCACCCGAGTCAAAAAGCAAAATAATTTGTAAGAAACATGTACTCCATCCTTTTCTTTCATTTCCTTTATGTTTCCTTAATTGAAACAATTTACTTTAATGTCGTTTAATGCACTTTTAATATCATTTATTGCACTTTCCATTTATCACATTTATTCTAGCTTTTTTACCATTAAAGTTTGTTTCCACTTTGTCTTTATACAAATACTTCTCGTTGTACATTTTGCACAAATTGCTTTTGAAACTGTTCGAATTAATCACATAACATAAGTGAACTAAACTCGTGATTGCTTGCAAAAACACCCTTGAACACCTATCTATTTTAATGTTGGGTATTTTATGTTTCGCTAACGACTGCGGCTATGAAGTATTATCTGTTTTGGGTGTGAGAATTCGTAATAGTTTTTTTCTTTGAAAAATGTGTCTCTTTGAAGAGTGTGAGTGTTGTATGTAAACTATCTATAGCCTTGATTCACAAGAAATATGAGACTATTTGGTGACCGAAACAGTTACCCCATTAGTTGGGGCTAAGTTACCCCATTAGTTGGGGCTAAGAGGCATAGTGTGAACCTCGAGCATGTGGGTTTGCCTTTCTTTTTAGATCTAATGTTCAAATCAACTACAAATTCTTTAACCACTGCGACTACAATATATTGTCCATTTTAGATGTGAAAACATGTCACAGGTTTTGTATTTTAGAAAAGGTGTCTCGTTGAATTGAGGAGTGTGAGTGTTGTATATAAATTATTTGTCTTTTCAATTATCAAACAATGTAAGACTATTTAGTGACTGAAACAGTTACCCCCATCTCTTCTAGAGCAGAAAAGAAAAGAAATATTGATCTGGTGAAGTCAACGGAAAGACATAAGTTTCCGCTATTGTACTTAAAAAAAAATGTGAAAGAAAAATATATGAAACTTGTAATGCAACGTTTACATTTATATAAGTCTTCATAAGCATTCTAAATTAAAAATAAGAAAGTTAGTTATGTATATAAGTCTTCATAAGCATTCTAAATTAAAAATAAGAAAGTGACTTAGTTGTAATAGCGCTTCAATTTGCCATCATTTCAAGTTTTGGGGATAAGTTCCTCGTGAAGAGTTTCAACAGTGCAGACTCACTTGCCTGAACTTCTTTTCTCCAATGTTTCCTCCTCCTACATAAACCCTTCGAAGTATGAGGTCATCGGGATTGAAATCCTTATGTCTGACTTTCGTGTTGTATTTGGCGAAAGTGGCTTGCATAACGGAAACATCGGTGAGGGAAGTGTTCGGACAGTGTTCTTGAGATAAGTTTTCCGCGAAGAGTTTCAATGGTGTAGAATCACCTGCTCAAACTTCTCTTCGTCAACGTTTCCTCCTTCTGGATAAGCCTTTCGAAGTACGAGGTCACCGGGATTGAAATCCTTGGGTTTGACTTTCGTGTTGTATTTGGCGGAAGTGGCTTGCTTAACGCCAACATCGATAAGGACGGAAAAACATCTCTTCTCTTCCAAGAGGTCTAGCTATTTCTTTATTGCATGTGGATTTTCCTCATTCTAGAGGTGGCGTAGAGTTCTCTAGCTGAGCTCCTCAACTAGATGACGACCTCAGTGTCATATGTGAGTCTGAAATGGGTTTCCTTAGTGGTGGAATGGGTTGTAGTACCGTACACCCAAAGAACTAAATTTTCAAATCTCCTCTTCTATCCTTTCGGCTTGCTTATTGTTACTTTAAGTGAATTACTGAGTAACATTAAAAAAATTGAGTAAATGACTAATAAATATAAATGGCATAAAATATCTTTAATAGGTCACTAGAACATTATGAAACTACGGAACAAGAGAATGTTTTGAAAACTAAAAAAAGAAAATAATTTTTAAAGTTGAATTCTCCCATCTACCCCATGTTTTTTCACTCGATGTATCCACGTGTTTTATTTATATATATATGTATGTTCTTATTCAAGCAATGTAAGTGTGAGAATCCACCCATATAACATTTCAATAACTGAAACAGACATGTGAAAATTCCTCGCATGGAAATTGTATATTCCACTCCATTAAATGTGACAATCTATGCTATAATTTATCATACTATTTAATTTTTTGGTAGTACATGTCAAATAAATTAAAGAAGCTCCAATTAATAAATGAAAACAACCATAAAGAATATTATCCATCCCCACATACTCTTACAAAAGTTGATGCTTAATAGAATCAAGAAAGAGTGTTAATACACAGCAAACATAAATTAATGCAAATAAAGCTTCTTTCTCATCTTTCCATAATCAAGAGACATTGATTAATTCAAGTAGCCGCAATCTTTGATACCACAAGTATAGCATACAATTTTCAAGCTTAGTCAAATTCATGGTGATCCAAAACATGCATGTAGTTGGATCAATAAGCTTCACTTGCCCTTTACATTCATGCTTCTTTTGCCCTCAAGTTGTGTCCATGAACAAATGGCTTCACAAGAAGTTACATCTATACTTAGAAAATAAGAAATAATGAAAAAGTTAATTGACAAAGAAAATTCATCAACTTTACGCCTTTCCGGTTGGTTTTGGTGAATGTTGAGGATTCTGATGGTGAAATGGAGAGGCATGAGTACCATGTGATATGGAAAGGCTCCTTTGTTGTTGTCCATTTCTCGTGAACGCTCCTTGTTTACCGTTTCGAGTATTCGGACTCGCGCTGAAACGGTCAGCTTGCATCGTCTGGAAATAGTATGATGAACTAGCCATGTCCTTTAGGTTTGGGAGAGGCTTCAATGCTTCTACAACTTCACTCATTAGTGGTCTTGCTTTTGGATCTCGGCTAAGACAGTGAGCAGCTAAATGGGCGGCTTTTTGAGCTCCTTTTATCGAGAAGTGACCTTCCAACCGAGGGTCGATCAATCTGTAGAATCTTCGTCTTTCTCCTAGATGCGGTCTTGCCCATTCCACGAGGTTATGTTCGCCATTCGGTCGGTTTTTGTCCATGGATCTTCGCCCAGTTATCATCTCAAGTAGTACGACTCCAAAACTATACACATCACTTCTTGATGTAAGATGCCCTAAATCCAGTATATGAAGATTAGATAATACAGATGTTCCATTCCATTTAAAAGGACTCAAAACAAAACAAATTACGTGAAAAATTGAAATACAACTAAAAGTTGTGGGTTTGGACTTTGGCATAACCAACAAAACTTACCAGTCATGACATATTCTGGTGCTGCGTAACCATAAGTTCCCATAACTCGAGTAGACACATGGGTTTTATCACCTTCCGGACCATCTTTCGCAAGTCCAAAGTCGGAGAGCTTGGCGTTGTACTCCTGAATGGTTATATTATTAGAAATATTACAATAAAGGAAAGAATGAAAGGTAATCATGTCGTAACGTTTGGCACTTACTGCATCCAATAGTATATTGGAGGTTTTGAAATCCCTATATATTACAGGTCGTTCCGCTTCCTCGTGAAGAAAAGCGAGTCCCTTTGCAGCTCCTAGTGCAATTTTCATCCGAATGGACCACGGAAGAGGCAACGCTCCTACAGCAATATAGTTTTGAACACAAGAACATTAAGAAATAAAGTATGAAGCAGAATTAGTAACAAAATTTAAAATTCCCTTAACGGTTCATCTATTATTGGAAAATAAAATAGAACAAAATTTATCGGAAAATGGTAACTTACTCCTAAACAAGTGGTTTTCCAGGCTTCCACGAGGCATAAACTCATATACTAGCAATCTTTGATCATCCTCGATACAGTAGCCTATAAGTTTGACAAGGTTTTGATGAACTAAATCACCGAGATAATTTACTTCAGCCTGTATCATGAACCAAACATGAAATTAAAGCATGAAAGAAATCCACACAGAACATTCAACAAAATGACACGTGAATTTAAGGAAGACAAATCTTATTAGAAAAATTACGAACCAGCCATTCTTTATGACCTTGGAGACCATCGTGGTTAAGGGTTTTGACAGCAACGGTAAGTCCTGTGCCAGGTTTTACTGCAGCAGTTCCATTTTCTTCAATCCATCCTTTGAACACACAACCAAACCCACCTTCACCAAGAAGACTCTCAGGCCGAAAATTTCTTGTTGCCAACTTAAGATCGTTGAAAGAGAACTTCCGCAGCCTGGAAGCGACTTTAAGCTCCTCTTCAAGTTTTGAAGCAGATGAGTTGCTTTCAGCATTACTAGTAGTAGTGGTTGTCGAAGAGGCTACTGGAACCGATGGCTGGTCTCTACTTGTATCAATAGTTGATTTGCTTTCAGCTAGCCAAAACACAACAAATAGAGGAAAAACATAATCAGAACAGCATCATTTATCAGGAGAAATAGACGATGAAGCAGTGCCACAAACACCAGACAGTGTGTATACACTGTTACTAGTAATTTAAGAAAATGAAAGTAGTCGAATGTAACTACATTCTTCAGTGTCTTGTTAGTGTCATACGTAAAACAAGCCGTTGAATTGAAGTATCGATGTTACATAGGAAATTGGTACCATTTCAAATTCGATTTGATAAAATAACAAAAGGAAATGAGCCAACTAAGAAACCAGAGTTCTTATATCTGTCATACATTACAAACACCTACATACACATCGATAAGGCGTGATATACCAACATTATCGCAAGTTTACAAATCACAACTATAATTGTACAATTTAAGAACTCATCCCTAACTGAATGAAACTTTCAAACACATAACAGTAATTATTTAAAGGAAACAAAAGTTACCATAATTAGTACTTGCACCACTAACAGAGCTATCAACCTTGGATCTTGAAGAAATGCAGCTTCCAATGAACCTAAAGCTAAGCCAACACCCAGTTTCAGTTTCTTCATCTTCCATTACCCCATCTTGCTTCTTCTTCTTCTTTCTCCCTTTTGATTTACACACATCCAAAGACTCTACTACTACCTTAGCATTCTCACCACCTAACCCCATTTTTATCAAACCATAAACAACCAAACCCAGAAATCATCAAACCATAAACACCCTCCAACACTTACCCAGGTAACCAATTCCCAAATAAAACCTAAAAATCACAACTTTATCACTGAATAAAACTCAAAATATGAAATCCAACAAAACCCAGAAATTTGAAATGGATAGAGAGGGAAAGTAGATCACATCAACCAGATTAAAAAAAAAACCCAAAAAAATAAAATCCGGTGAACCCTAGATTGATCAGTAATGTGAACCCTTTCCACCGAAAAAAAAAAAGCTATAGTGAAACCTTAATAACAGAGAAAGGTATGGTTCAAGAGAGACACAAACATCAAACGTTTGTGTGTTGTGTTGTGTTGCGTTGCGTTGTGTTGTTCTTACTGAAAGAGTAGAAACTTCAAACACAATGCTGAAACGGAAACAAAAGAAAATAATAAATATGTGAAATTACTAAAAATAAATAATATAAGATAATTGTTGATGTGTGATATAAAACAAAACAAAAAAACTGTAGTTTCGTTCTCTCTCCTTCTTTAATACTTTTTTTTCTTTCTAAATTTTGAAATGAAAAAGAAAGAGAGAGTGTGGGTCCCGAAGAAGAGGAAGTTTTTGGGGGTACCCGAAGGAATGTGGGAGGGTGACCGAATAGAAGGAGGGCAGTTAGGGCAGGGGGAGGAGTGTAAAGTAAGGGCAGGAGAGAGAAAGGGGGGCCTAGTGATGGTGACGTGTGTGCCTTCGACGGGTGTAGCGTGAGGGAAGCCAAGTCATGCGTCAGGTTGATCTCATTCTTGTAATAAAATAAATTTTGTTTTTTTTTTTTAACTACTATTTTAGTTTTTAAGTTATTTTAAAATATTAAACTAGTCTCTTAAGTTTTCTTTTAATACTGTTTGTTTTTTTTAAATTTTGTTATAATAAATTGCAAATTCATATAACATTTGAATTGATTTGTCGCGCTGATCACGAATATGCAATCAAATTTATCAAATAACTTACGGTTCATTAGAATCAGATAAAAATGAATGAAATACTTTAAGGAAAAATCATCGATCTGACCAAAATACACAATCAAACGTAAAATTAATTACATATTTGTGATCAGCGTGAAAAAGCAGTTCAAATGGTATATGAGTTTATAATTTATTGTAACTGAGATTTTTAAAAAGGACCAAAGTGTTACAAAAAAAATTTAGAGACTAACTTAATATTTTAAAATAATTTAAAGAATCTAGACAGTAGTTTTGCCTTTTTTTTTCTATAAATGAAAACCATACGAAGTAATCTTGGTCATTTCTCTCATTTATGTTTGTACTTTGTAGGCACTATCATAATTATTCAGAAATTCTTTTATTTAAATAATCATTTTTCAAATAAAATATTCAAACTAATTTATTTTTTCATGTATTTCTTAAATTAATTCACTTTAAATAAAAAAAACCTCAACACAAAAAATTGTTAATTCAATTGACGACAGTATATAACACATAGAAAGAAACGGCAATCCAATTAGTGATAGTATACAAATATATAGGAGAAAGAGTACTCTCTGTAACAGCCTAATTTTCAATAATTAATTATTTATATTAATTAATTGATTTATTTGGATGATTTTAATTATTGGAATTATTGGTAGATATTTGAGAGGAAATATGATGGAAGGAAATATAATAGAAAGGCATATAAGGAAAAGTGGAAGGAAAAAGGAAAGAATAGAAACATAAGAGAAAGAGAAGAGAAAGAAAGAGAAAGAGGAGAAAAGAAAAAGAAAAGAGGGGAAAGCTTGGAAAGCTCAAGAACAACTTCTAGCTTCGATTTAATCAAGGTAAGGGTGTGAAATGTTGTTATCTTGTCAATGTATATGATTATGTATGGATTGTTTGGATTGTTTGGATGTTTTTCTCCGTTTTCCATTTTAGGGCAGAAATGAGTTTAATCGATTGAATCGATGTTTTAACGGTTAGAATCCGAATTTTTTGGTGTAGTTTAGTCGAGGAATGTTAGGCTAAGACTACTGGAACTTGTTGGAATTAAATCGAGTGATTTGGGAGCTTCTGATGAATTTTGGACAGTTGGGGTTTTGAACATCGCAGACATTCGCTAGCACATTCGTTAGGCGAGCAGGTCGTGAGTGTTCGCTGTAGCAAGCTGTAGCGAATGGTCCCAGACTTGGACAGAATATAATTGACCCTTTTCGCTGGTAGCGAGCAAGGTAGCGAGGGGTTCGCTAGGCGAAGCCCCAGCGAGTAGGTAGCGAAGCCTTACAGTAGCTTCTGTTTGCCTTCGCGAGCTTGTTCGTTAGGCGAACATGTAGCGAGTATTCGCTAGGGACTCGCTGTAACGCCCATTTTAATTATCTCGTTTTTTTCTGTGTATTTTATTTGTGGTGTGCCTTCTGTGTTAGGGGTTTGGTTGAGTGCGATAGCGTGTAGCCCTTAAGTTGGAATTAATTAATAATTTTGGACTTTGGTATTAATAATAATATTTAGTGATGATAATTTAATTAATAATGGTAATATTATTATTAATATTATTATTATTAGTAGTATTATTATTAATATTATTATTATTAAGTAAATATAAAGAATTGGGATGAGGGGCTGTTTGGGAAAATTGGAAAAGAGGAGAAGTAGAACACGTAGGAGGAGAAGAGAAAGAAAAACACGATCAAGAGGAATTTGGAAGGAAGAAGAGCAAGGGAATTGGAGCAAGAAGAAGCTAAAATTTCAGAGTTCATCAGTGGTTCGAGTTATCGAGGTAAGGGGAGAAATCGGTTAAAATTGGTAGAGTGCATGAATATTAGGTAGAAGGGGATTTTCCTTAACCCCATAGGTTTGATGATTATGTTTTGTATGATGTTGTGATGCTGAGTTTGATGTTGATATGTTGAATCCATTGCATGTGTTGTTTGATTGATTTGGGGGTTTCTGGGTAGTTCGAAGTTCATGCCGAAACTGATTAAACGTGTAGAGCTGACATTTAATCGGGATAAATCGAGGATAGATGTTGTAGAAAGGTGGTAGAATATTGGTGGGATAACTCGCTGGGCGAATGAGGGGGCGAGCCTTCGCTAAGGCTTCGCCAAGCTAACTGGGCACCGAGTGCTGCCAGTAGCCACTGTCTGGCTTCGCCAGGGGTTTCGTCGGGCGAGCTTCAGCGAGCATTCGCTGCGGGGCTTCGTCAGGCGAATGTGCCAGCGAGCGTGACAGAATGTTGTGTTTTTGAGCTGTGTTGTTCGGTTCTCTCGTGATGTTGAATCCTTGTTGGTCATGGTTGAGTATGATATTGGTATTGAGTTGTGGGGAGCGTATGTGTGATGTGGAATATGACTTCCTTGATATTCGTTTAATTTAAAGGATTGAATTCGGTGTATGTGAATTGCGTATGAATATGGTGATGTGTGAT